CCCCCCCCGCCTCCAACGTCATCAATGTCTGGTTCAATGTTCCATAATGCGGGGAAAGTATGGAGTCTGGGGAGGCAACCCAATTGACTTTGGCCAGGTCTAGCCCGGCTTCCATGAAGACCAGTGCAGTCCCTTTATGCGCACTCCGAAGGCTCCCGGCGCCGTTTCCGGTTTGGAAGCCGTCATGGAATACCTGCCGGCGCATTGCAGTTCCGTAATGTGATCCGCCGCGTTGCCACCCAGCCAAGCTAGCTACGCCCGCCATGCAAGCCAATTCGTCGTCCACCCTGCCAACCTGGATATCCAGCCAAGTTGGTCATGTGCCCGATGTTTCGTCTTGGTCGTCGATAGTGTCCCGTGCCATGACTCGTGTCGATATATTACACGCCCTCTCTCGGCTCCATCACGGCCCAGCCATCCTGGATAATACAGTAACCCAGGTCTATAACGATATCTTCGTGAGGCTTTTTTCGTCGTTATTAGGCGACTATCATTAAGGTGCGACTATTATGGGGCTTGTACCTTTGACTAAATTTACTAGGTAAATATATGCAATAATATTAAAAGGTATATATATATACAGGGTTATGTTTTTTTAACCGCGTCACGAGCTTCCTGCCAGTCGTGCCAAAGCCGCTGTTGAAGCCGCTGTTGAAGCTGTTGAAGCTTATCGCGGCCCTCGTCAACGCGGGCAAAAATGGGCTCAATTCAAGACGTATCGCGTGCCACAGCTAAAAGAGCCTCGCGGCGGTCATCCCAATCCTTTAGCTGGCGTTTACAGCTTTACATATTGCTAAGCAGCTTTAATTTTCCCTGCCTATTGGTGCGTGCATGTGGTGTTGAAGGAAGAAAAACGCGTTAAAGGCTGCATGGTGACTAAGCCTGAGGCTAACGATATCGCAAGTACCCCGACTATTCACGATTTACTAGGGAAAAACCGAATATCGCTCAGATACAGCATCGTTATAGACATGGTTTACTGTAGTGGACATCTGGAGGCCTTTCCAACTTGTCCAGTTCTGCATTACGTGAACATGCTCCCAACTCCCCACAAACAAGAGCCAGCCATGGGACATGATGATGCCTATTCGGGCCTTTGCAGAGCCATCTCTGATTTGATACCATTACCACCCGTGCGCCCATGCCAACGGTAGTCGCGCCGCTCCGCCGAGGTCGTTAAGCCACCCTGCAACCACCTTGCAGCCTTGATCATCTTTCTCTCAAACCCCTACGGGGCCGGGGCCCTACCCACTCACTACAGGGTAATGCAACTCTCGGCTGGCCGACTATCATTTTGACCACGTCTAGTCTTCCTGACCTGGAAATCTGGACGTGAAGAGACTGTCCACGAGTGGCCGAGGTGGAAGACTGACTTGCGTCCATCAACTCCTTCAGGAGTGTCAGTGGCCCCTCGGTTCTGCCTTTTGGTTCCAGACGTCGCATGTACGCCATGGCATCTAGCGACTTTGAAACAGTACTCCGTACACCTGATGGCACAATAGAATGTTTTAAAAGTACAACGCAATACATTCCTTTCAGACAATGGTGGTAAATAGACTACAAAAGAATATCTAAATGGCCCGTCCTATCGACACATCCCCTCGGAGCTTCAAGTCCATCTCTTGCTCATTTAACAGCGGTCTGATTGTAGTACAAGTCGCACGCATGAGGGTGCTGCAAGCAATACTTGGGTGCCAGAGGAGCAGCCCCAATGCCATTGGCAACAAGGTACTCCCTAAAGTTGAGAATACGTTGCGTCAAGTAAGTCGTTCGCTTTAACCCAGTCTTGGGGTCCTTGTTGCCAGACCAAACCAACTCGGCGAGTGCAGCGGCTCGGGGCCACATCTTGGAGCTGATGACGGCGTCGTCGACTTGCTCGGACCACAACGGCGCGGCGGCACCAATGATGTGCTTGGCTTGCTCAGACGTGAGGTTCGCGGTGAAGTCGTAGTCGTAAATGCGCTGCCACGTCTTGTACGGCGCACACCAGGAGCCGCCAGGGCCGCCGTAGTTGAAGGAGAAGGTCGCACCGGTAGCATCAGGATTCGATTGGGGAGAGTTGTAACGAGCATCGTTGGTCACGTACCCGCCGTTGCCACAATCGAGATACATAAAGTCGGCGCTCGACACAATCACGTCGTAGCCGGCCTTTGTGAGCTTGTCGATGTTGGCAACGCCGTTGTTCCAGGACTGCATGATGACGCTCTTTGAGACATTGTTAGCGTGGGCGTCGGGAGAGAGGACCACGTCCTCCCACATGATCAGCCGGCGGTCCTTCTTGCCGCTGTTCTCCTCCGACATGAACAATGGGTATGCGTGATCGATCCAGTACTGGTTGAGGTCAAAGTAAGTGCGCCCGGGGTCGGCGGCGAACCAATCCCTGATGCCCTTGCTAAAGTTGAAGCAGCCAATCTGGAGCTCGTCACCTCCAACGTGGAAGAAGTCGTCCGAGAACTTCTTGGACAGCTCCGAGTAGACTTTGCCGACAACTTCGTACGTCTTGGGGTTCATGACATCCAGCTGTCCAGGGTTGGGCTGCACGGCGGTGTGCAAGGGCCAGTTGTCGTTGGACCACCAGCTATTCTGGCACGTCACAATGTCCTTGTCGATTTGCTGCCATCCAGAGGCAGAGTGGCCCGGCATGTCTATTTCGGGAATGACGCGCACGCCACGGGCGCGAGCATACGAGATGATATCCCGCACATCCTTTGCCGAGTAGCTCTCGCGGCCAGAGTAGGCATCCTTGGTCACCTGAGGGTAGGTCTCGAGGTGGATGGGCCAAGACTGGGCGTCGGTGATGTGCCAGTGGAGGATATTCATCTTGGACAAGGCAAGCCCGTCAATCTGTTCCTTGATCTTGTTGGCGGAAATGAAGTTTCGGCCCGTGTCGATCATGACACCTCGGTAGGGGTAGTTGGGGTGATCCTCGATGGTGACGGGCTGCTCAACAATCAGGGACCCGCCGTCAAAGATGACGAGTTGCTGGAATGTGGTGAAGGCATGAAGAGCACCCCAGACCGTCTTTGCCGTGATTTCCACCGTCGAAGACGAAGCAGACACGGTGAGGGTATAGCTCTCGTCGACGCCGTGCTTCAAGTCGGCGGACCAGTCGGCAACCTGTACATTGATCTCGTTGAGCCAGCCGCTGCCCGTGTTTCGCTTCGATTTGGTGCTGCTGCTGTTGCTGGCAGCGGTGGGGAAAGGGTCGAACTTGGGGATGGGCTGCTCGATGGCCTGCGGCACCCATCGTAGCGACGTGATGGCCTGGGAGGCGCGACTCCAAGCATCCGAGACGAGTTGGGTGTTGGACTTGGACGTGCGATTCGAATTGGTACGCAGGTTTAGCCAGCCGACATTTTGGGGACCAGAGTCGCCCCAAGTCACCTCTTGCGGCGCAGGAAGCGGGTTCACCTTGACGGTGACGGCAGAGCTCAACTCTACCGTCGCCAAGGCGATGAGAAGGGCAGACGTGTGGAAGCGCATGTTGAATCGAGTTTTGCCAACGGATTGTGACGTGGTGTCAAGGTGAGAGTTGATGATGGTGCCTTGGAAACCCGTACACAATCAAAGGTGCCGAACAAAGGGCACACACGGACCGTGAATCACGAGCTTGGAGAGAGCTGCTGGTGTTGCAAAACATGAAAGGACGGACGTGCGGATGGAGGGGCCAACTCGGTGCCTTTTGTAGGAAATGGAGATTGGATCCCAGGTCTCGCGTCGAAAGCCAGCTGCCCGCGTCTTTGAGACATCTGGACATTCATTGGATTGGGTCACGGGGGCTGTGTCCAGGGACCTCAGAGGCGAACATTTCCAGTCGTGATGACAGAAAGGTTGGATGGGGATGGAAGCTGGGGAAGAAGCTTGGAAATGTAACCCCACCATAAATAAGTTCCTTGATATGCAGGCCACCAACATGAGCCAAGACAGATTGACCATGTGCGGACCTGACTCTTTCGGCGAAGCGTGGCAGCCGATTCCAGACGCCTTCTTTCTGATGCAATACCAACATTCAACCAACAAGGTGAGGCAGAGCTGAATGGGGCCCTTGCGCGCCTGCAATCAAAGCGAATGCATGGAAAACCCTCGGTTCCAATGCGTCTTTTGACCCCACGATTTGGAGCCACGAGAAGGAGACGATGAGCACCTTGAGGGGGCAAAATATATTGGAGGACGGGGTCGACGCAATGCAACCCAACAAATTGATTGCAACCGACCAGGGGGGCCATGAGAAGGGCAGCACCCGCCACTGAGTGCGCCAATTTACGGGTTATCGCATGTTTCATGCGCGGGCTTGGCATTGGCACAAGGCTGAGGGACGTTTGTTCACACTGGAGTGGCCGCTCCCTGACGGGTAGATATCAATCAGACCGATGTCCGTCTTCTGTTCTTTGATGGCTGCACCCAGTGCCTTGATCAAATAAAGCCACAGCAGCCGCTGTCTGGTCAAGTCTGGTCTGGTGTCGCCCCAGGTCACCATTTCCCCAGTCGATCAATACCGAGTCCTCAACATCTTTGCCCCAAACACATGGTGCTTCATCTTCACCATTCCAACACATTCCGCCCGTACAAACAATCGGACTCGGTCCTCCTTCTCCCACAGCAATCCGCTGACGGTCCTACGCCTCAACCGCGGCTTGACATGGCTGTGGCTTCAGCAGCCCAGGCCGCTGGATGCCTTCAATGTTGCCTCCACAGCTGAGTGATGCATCTACGCAATTCCCCCGCATTGCGACGTTAACGTTACCTCAGTTCATCGTCCCATGTCATCAACGCCACGCTCCAACATGACTTCAATTCTGTGTTTTTGTTTCTTCGGATTTTGGGTCAGGTCACATGGTGATTTTACGAAAAAAAAAAAAAAAAAAAAAAAGAAAAGGGGGGGGTTTACTCACAAGACAAAAGTCATCCATCATTCCCGACTTGTGTGTTGTGTTTTTGCCCATCATGACGAGATGGTCCGTCACGCATGTAGCCGTAATTGGCGTGAGACATTTGTTCCGTATTCGTCAAAATTCGAATCCTTGGCCATGTTTCCCAATAACTTTCCCCGTGGTTAGATTTTGGGTCAGGGCACATGGTGATTTTTCAAAAAAAAAAAAAAAAAAAAAAAATAAGGCAAATGAGGCGTTTACTCACAAGACAAAAGTCATCCATCATTCCCGACTTGTGTGTTGTGTTTTTGCCCATCATGACGAGATGGTCCGTCACGCATGTAGCCGTAATTGGCGTGAGACATTTGTTCCGTATTCGTCAAAATTCGAATCCTTGGCCATGTTTCCCAATAACTTTCCCCGTGGTTAGGGGTAAAGTTGACCTACCTTTGACGGACATCTAGAAGGACCCGGGGTTATGCAGTAGCTCGGGAAATCTGTCATGCAAAAGCAACTGCAACCTTAGTTGACTCCATGCCAGTCTCGCGACCGTTCTGCATTGGGCAGGTTTTAAGTAGGCAGGGACTGCGATCGACGCATGCTCGCCATAACAGCGACGACTTGGGTTTAGGCCCACTACCGCAGGCAACGACGAGTATGTCGTCAAGTAGCTCTAGGGTAGTCGGTAGCAGAGCTTTCCATGAGCGGCTGAAATTGTACCCTGCAATCAATTTGCCGTGCTTTACGTTGCATTGAAGCTATTCAAGCTGGGACGTAGTCGTAAGAGGTGCGTGCAATTGCGCACCTGTCCGGGCACACAAACCGGGCTCATGACTGTCATGTTTGGACCGTCGAAATCAACGGCCCTGCTTGCCAAACATATGTCTGCACATGTGGGGATGCGATGGATTGCCAGCCTCAGACACTTTGTGCCTTGACTCCAGACAACAGTCTGGCTCAACGGCAGGAACACTAGACTTTGGCAACCGCTACAGGTACGTATGATCCTTCGGCTTTCGGCAATCGGTATCATCTGACGAGGTTTCTTCCTGCTAGAGCTGGTCAACATTGAACCCCGCGCCTCGACGTCGATGCCGATGCCTCGGCATCTTGCTCTCTCCTCCGTCACCCCACACCTCAACAAGCCATGAGCCGCCGCTCCCGCCTCGGAACGATTATCCGCCCGCTGCGGCCGCGTCACTTTGGCGCCACAAAGTGATATGTGATATATTATGGATATAAGCTGCGAATCCACTTGACTGAGCATGCATTGCTGTGTTGTTCAAGGCAACACTCGCCCGATTAACCCATCATTCAACAAGACGCAAGACGACAGACACCATGGCTCCAAAAGGGCCAATTACAACGCCCTTCACCCAACTCATGGGCATTCGGCACCCCGTGGTTCTAGCCGGCATGGCCCATACCTCCGGAGGCGAACTTTCTGCCGCCGTCTCCAATGCTGGCGGCCTGGGAGTCATTGGTGGTTTGCAGTACTCGCCCGACCAGCTTCGAGAGATTATCGCGGAAATGAAGGCCGCTTTCAAGCGGCCAGATCTGCCCTTTGGAATTGACCTCGCGCTCCCCCAGGTGGGCGGCAACGCACGGAAAACGAACCACGACTACACGCACGGGAAGCTCGAGGAACTCATCGACCTTACCATTGAGAGCGGCGCCAAGCTCTTCGTGTGCGCAATCGGCGTGCCGCCCAAGCACATCATCGAAAAGCTGCACAAGAACGGCATCTTCGTCATGAACATGGTGGGCCACCCGAAGCACGCCGTCAAAGCCCTCGATCTCGGAGTCGACATGGTGTGCGCCCAGGGCACCGAGGCTGGTGGGCACACCGGCGAGATCGCAAGCTCGGTTCTTGTGCCGGCTGTCGTGGACGTGGCCCGACGTTACAAGCCGCCCATGCTCAGGGGGTCTACCGCCTTGGTTCTTACTGCCGGCGGCATCTGCAACGGTCGGGGTGTTGCTGCGGCTCTGATGCAGGGCGCCTCTGCCGTTTGGGTTGGAACTCGCTTCGTGGCCTCGGTGGAAGCCAACAGCAGCAACGAGCATAAGCAGGCCGTCCTGGATTGCGATTATACAGGCACGGAGCGAACCCTAGTCTTGTCCGGGAGGCCCCTGAGAATGATGCCCAACGACTACATTAGGCGGTGGAATAAGAATCCTCAGGAGATAAAAAACCTCTGCGACCGAGGCATTGTCCCCGTACAGCATGACCTGGAAAACGGCGCAGAGGACATTGACGTGCCTCACTTTATGGGCCAGGTCGCGGGCTCGATTCAGCGCATTCAACCGGCAGGCGAAATTGTTCATGAACTCGTCGAGGAAGCCGCTGATATGCTGAGGACCGGAGGGACGTACCTTGATGGGGGCAGTAAGCTGTAGACTCGGCCGAAAATGAACTGCTGATGAAGAATCTTGGGTGTAATGGGCGCCGTGTAACAATAGGCTTGGATCAAAGACGCGCAAATAAGCACATTTGAGTATTTGACAAAACAGACGGTGACTCAACGTTGCTGCTTGGGAAGATGCCTTCACCAGCATCTTGCAATCAAGCGGCCTGTGATCGGGATGACACCGTCGCTGGTGATTTTGCCCAAGACGCATTTTTGTTGACAAGTGAGATGCGGCATGGCCTAACACAACACGCAGGGGAGAAGTCAATAATCATCTAGCCACAGGGCTTAACCCCCTTCGTTATGCCAAGTCTAATCAAAGTCTATTTTGCCGTCTAATAACTATATAGTGTAAATTCCCTCATGTAGTAAATTTGAAGCCTCCCTGTCGGTTGGAGAAAAAGCCCTGAGGATCATAAGCCTTGTGTATACTGAAGAGTCTCGAAAATGTCTCGTTTCCGTAGCTTTGCAATACGTCTTGTCCTTCCATGGCATCATTCATGAATATTGGATTATAACTAGTAGCAGGGTTTCAGTTTAATGTAAGTAATGCAAGGGGGCGGGAGAGACGGGACAAAGCAAATGTACACGGACGGACAGAGACAAAACGGAAGATGGGAAAACCAACTCACCTCAGGAACTCCAGATCCCCAGACTCGTAATTCGTGGGATAAATTCCGGAATACTTTTCCCTGTGGAGGTCATGCTGGGACTGCACCAACTTCTCAAAGAACTCGGGGCACTTCTTGTCGCACAGCGGGTTTAGCCAGGCAATGTCATACTCCATCCACACCCGATCCCCATGTTCTGGTACAAGCCCCAGTGCGTTGGGACCCCCATTCTCTAGAGAAGCCCGCGCAATGCCACGAGGCATCGGTTGGACCGCAAATGAGAACAGTTTAAAGTCCAACAAATCCCCAAGCGCAGCCTCGGTAGACTTTTTGACAAGAAGGTCAAAATGACTATTCAGAAAAGAGTTCATGTCCCTTGCTGGCATGTTGGGGAATGTGTTTTCTCTAATCTGAAACCGCAGGCCCTTCATATCACCAGCCAACACTTGCTTGGTTAGGTCAGTGTAGGATCGCGCCTTGGTGTTATCGGACAAGCTCACGATGGAGTCAAAGTCGTCGAATACACCATTGCGCGGCTCTGGCCCGTCGTAGAAGAAGAACACCAGACTCCCAGGGGCGTTGGCCCCGAGCGTTGAGAAGAAGTTGAACGTTGGAATAATGGCGGCCTTGTTGTCAGTGTTGCCGGCGGTGAAGTTTGTAACTGCCGACAGAACCTCCTTCCGCTTGTCTGCTGTATATGTGCGAACGCCGCCCCAGACGGTACCGTTCTGGCCAATGTCGTATGTCTTCAATACAAACTTGGTCACGACGGCATATTGGTTGCCTCCGCCTCGTAGAGCAAAGAATAGCTCGGGGTGCGAAGTCGAGCTGGCAGTCGCAATGGTGCCATTTGCAAGAACGCACTCAAAGCTCACGACATTGTCGCACGCGAAGCCCTAGGGAAAATGTAAGCTGAAAAACTCCCAGATACAAATAACACAAGTTTTTCTTCGTCTTACATGTTGCGCAGACAAGTAAGAGAGCCCACCACCCAGCAAGAAGCCGGCAACTCCAACGTCTCCCAAACGACCGCCCACGGCAGTTTTGCCCAGTGGTTCGAGAGCCGAATATACTTCTTCCCACTTGCACCCAGCACCAACCTCGACAGTCTTTCCATCTGCAGACGGGATGGCGTATTGTGAATTTGGTCTAAAGGCAATCAGAACCCCTTGGTCCACGCTGGAGTGGCCTAGATTTGGGTTATGCCCGCCGCCTTTGAGCGCGAACCGGACCGTGGGGTATGCATTCAGGAGCTGTACTGCAACAGAGACTTGGTCGGCATTGGATGGAAAAAATGCACAGCCAGCTCTGTTCTTGGAACTTGCAGCGTTCCAATAGTCGAATCGGGCCGCGTTGTAGGTTGAAGCATGGGAGACTGTGTCGGTAGCATGCGGCCCGGCTGGATCCCAAACCAGCTGCCCTGGGAATTTCGAATACAGTCCCGAGCAAACTGCCTTGGTTTCAGGTGTTAGAGCTGCTGCCTCTGTGAGTGTATAAAGGGCTGCAACTAGCCACAAGATGCTCATCTTTCAAAGGTTATTCGTGTCTTGAGACGTATATCAGAACTTGACGCTTCTCAGTCAACATCAAATGTTGGAATAAGACACTTCCAAGTAGACCCTTGAAAATTATATTGTGTTAATATTGAGGGAGGACTCGCTATGATGAGCCTCTTGTGAATATTTATATATCATAACCTAGCAACTATCTAAGTTTAGTGGGGGATACTGTATTCGCTCGGGGACCTGATTCTACACTACCGGGCTCTGCATGTCCTCGCCCTTCCGATCCATTGTATTTCCGTAGTTGCTGTGGACCCTTACATTGTGGGCCGGCCCGAACGTGAGGGAGATTGAAATGATGGGAGAACCGAGACAACGAGTCAGAGGTTTTCTGTATGATGGAGTGGAGCAGATGGAACATTTGAAATGAGCCGGTCGTGGATAGTGTCTGTGCGGCTCTGTGACTTGGCAGGTTAATACTAATGCGTGTAGGAACCGTCCGGCTGGAAAGACTAGCGCTGCTATGTTTCTTTTGCTTGTTATGGCATACACCTCTGCTACAGGACGGTACCCAATCCAATGTCTGACATAGCCGCCGTTCCCTAGTTTGCACTCCACCTCGCTTAGAGCCTCGCTTAGAGAAAGGTCAAAGAGCGTGTACAGTTAAGGTAAGGCGTCTCCCGATAGTCCAGCTGACAGAAGCACGGCAAATGGCGATCGGGAAACCAAGCTGTCCCGGAGATTCGAGCTTTGTAGTATCGGTGGGACTAGTGTCCTACCTCGGCATGTTTCGTAATCCGAAAGATGACCATTTTTAGAAATATAGACTGGCAAAAGTGTTGCCCGCGACGGAGAAACCAGCTATCGTACCAGATCGCCGCAGACTTTGTATTTACTTACTTGAAATCAGTGTACATGGGATCAAGTCAGTAGTACAACCCCTCGGGTGCGTTGAACCGTACAGAAATTTCGGACCAAAGTTACGAGACAATGTATCAACGAATCGGAGAGGTACTACATGGCTCCGCGCTTGGCAGCATACGTTTGAGACAAATATACGGGGCTGTACGGGGCCCTTGCCTCCTGTTGTCTATGCTTGTAAAATGTCATAACTGTCGGGTATAATACAAGCATAGATAGTAAAGGGAACATAAAAGTCAACGGCATGTGTGCCTAGGGAGGTGCGCCACTTCCTGATTCCTGGTGTGGCTGTATTCCCCAACAACTACGCGCTGTTCTCTTTGCGGCAATTGCAAAAACGAGAACAGAGGGCCGAATAAAGTTATTAGTTCTGGTTACGACCTGGAAGGGAACTTTCGTGTGTGTGTTGTGTGTGCTTTGTATTATTGCTAGCTAAAACAAGCTAAAAAGCTCTATAAGAAGAGGTTAAATCTAGCCTGCTAGCTGCTTGATGCTGTTAGCTATAAGCAGCTTCCACGTGTAGCCCAAATACCCAATTCGGGGACATAACAGATGAGGCCGGCACGAAGCAAATAATAGCTATCCCTAGCAATCTGGCCTGATAGAGACTCGTAATAACTCCATAACTCGATAACGGGGCTGCTGCTAGAACTGCTGCTATAGTAGACCTCGTCAAGTGGTCAATTCCGAAGCTCTAGGACGGGCTGTATTGAGGCTGTTGAATTTAACGGCCTTCTTGGGCCCGACATCGACCTCGTTGGGCTCAATCTCGCCAATAGTCCCTATCACGCGATATCTGTAGCTTCTGTTACTGAATTCCGTATTAAGCTTGCTGGAAAATCTGTTGGTAGCTTTGGTACCAAGCATCTAGCTGCTACAGCTGTCACTGATACTCGCGATATTAGGGGCTAGAAGACCTGATTTTTCGACCGGAATGTCTTTTTGCAGATGCCGCAGGCTCGTCGCTGTCAAGCCTTGCGATAAAGCTGCTAAAGCCTCTGCTGCCCTTGTTGATATCGCATATCGAGGGCGATTATCGCGTATGACGGTCAGGCCGGGCCGGAAAGCTACAACGGGCTCGTTGAATGAACGAGGACTGCCGCCGTAAGGTTGGCTGCGGCGGTTATTTAAGTAAATAGGAAGGAAAAGAAATGGCTGTAAAAGGAGGTCTGTGACAGCTGTTCAATTTAAAGCTACTACAAGGTGCGTAGCTACCAATGAATTCAACCGTGTTATTTGAAGCTATCATCCGGCTTAACGACCGTCCCGTTGGTGTGTACCTTCTAGACTATGCCCGTCGGACGGTTAATAGTAGCTGTTAATGCTGCCGGTAACCCTAACCCTAGATCTACGGACCTAAATGAGTGTGTTTTCGAACTATAGGACGCGTTTCCGGCTCATTTCACGCAATATGCACCTAGGTACGATATTCCCGGACCAAACACGGAACTGGAATCCCCTGATGCGGATGGTAAGTAGGCCTTAGAAGACGCTTCGGCAGCATTGGTGCTAATAATGACCAATAAAGCCACAAGAGTACTATAGCACTATGCCGATATGGACGCTCAACAACTAGAAAGGATCTTTCCCGACGCCAACGAGGCATGACAAGAGGTGTTTGGAGGTGGCAGCCGTCAGGTAATAGTGACGCCGGGACATGCGACACGATTAAGCTGGAGTTCGAGGGTGTCGGATTAGAACGACATGTAATCACTTAAGGTCCCTCGGCAGGATTCCATGTACGGCAGCGTATTGACATAGCCAAGATGTTTGGTTCGGACACTGTTGCGCTCAACCAAGTAGAGCGTATCCGCCTGCTCTTGGAAATACAAGAGCAATTTACACAGCGAATAAGCAGGTTATTGGGGAGGCTTTTGGAGGCCTTAATTGAGCGAATTTGACGATGTTGATGATTGACGAACATCTCTGTTGAATACACTAACCTCAGGCCTGGAAGAGCCCCTGAAGACCCCTGCCGAGACCCTCAATCCGTGCCCTAATTGACGTCTGGAGCCCCAGAAAAAGTACCAGACATATGTAACATTGAACTATCATATGTAACCAACAGCGGAGCTCCAATATCACCTTGACTTTTTTGATCCAACACCTACTCGATGAGATAACAAATTCATGGTGGGGAACAGACGCATGGGAGATAGTAAATTACCCGACCGCCCTTTAGTACTTGAATAGAAGGCTGAACCTCGCCCTAGGACTCAAATTCAAGGCACAATGCGCCGGCTCGGGAATCGTAATCAAGCTCAATAAATTCAACAGTTAACACGTGGATTCAGGCGAAGCCTGACAGGGACGGGCGGTTCCAGTATCATTACTGACTGAGGGGCCTAGGCCGACTCGGGTTTCTCGGCCCCCATGCAGCCACTTCCAGCAGCTAAGTATTAACCTGCACATAGCCCATCAAACACATACCAGAACTAACAACGATATTGATGCTGATATCGGTAGGGGGCGTTTCTTGTTGCTCGCCCACCACCCTTTTCGCAGAGAGGTTTTCACCGTCAACATCGGCCTTCAGAAGGCCTACGGTTCGCAGGATGTTCCCGTAGCTGATGCTCAGCTCGTCTCGATTAAGAGTGAGGGAGGTCACGACCAGACGTTGCCTAAAGGTAAGTAGATGGCTCTCTGTCTGAAACGGGAACAGACTGACCCATTTTCTTCATGTAGAAGTAATAGTATACGAAGTCTGCGCCGATTCGCATACATCAGTCTCTAATTAAGCATGAAATCAATGACTGGATCCAAGATAGTTAGTAACGGGATATTAAGCTGGCTTCTGAGAAGTAGGTGAAGGCGTAACCCGTTGTAGTTGATAGGTATCTGGTGTATTTTGTGTAGCCCACAAAAAGCAGACCTCCTATACTTGGATATGTTTAGACACGTACATTCTTTGCACATGTTTAGCTTTTGTTCTATTCTAGATAAGGCCACTATTTATCTAGGCTCTAATCTACAAACTATAGTTATTTATTAGAAGGCTAGTCTTTTATTGTAATTTGTATTATTGGTCACTTAACTATAACAAGTGGTAAGTATGTATAACCTGGCTTATTAAGTTAAAGTGATATAAAACCTTTAAGATAGGCTTTGGTAGCTTTTCATTAAATTAAATACTTTATAATATATAAAACGCGCTTTTATTTTTCTAATATAAGCTATTAAAGTAATAAAAAGGTATCAAGATAATTTATACTCTTTTTTATAGACTGTGTAACTCCGTGGAATCAGCTCAGTTTACTAGAGGCCTATCACATGCATCTCGATGCGTTAAAAGCTAGTAGAGTAGTGTTTTAAAGCGGCACGCCGGTAAAGGCTATCTCGCGAAAGCCTTAGCTACTAAGTGCTTGGAAGCAAGACATGGTTTATGCGAGTGACTCACTCTAAAAACTTAAAAAGCCCCACATAACATATATTAACCAGGTCTGCCCTCGCCGGCAATCTATGACTCCTCCTCTCCCTTTATTAACTTACTCTATAAAATACATTAATCGCTCTCCTTAATCTTCACTGTACAGTTTTATCCCAAGTCTTACTCATTTCATCTTTACAGACGTCATCATCTATGGCTTCACCAACTATACCCCCTTTTTTGCCACTACAGGGGCCGCCATCTACTCGAGATCACTGGTTTTTCCTACAACGCTCTGGGGAGGAAGGAGATCATCGACACTCCATGTACCGCTATGCCACCGTCAATATCTATTATCCCTCAGTTTTACATATCGACCGTTTGCCCGGCATGTCAGCTCAAGACTTCTGTGATACATGCAACAAGTCAGTGCCTTTTTACATTCTACCGGATCGAAAAACGGCGCTATTGAAGATGGTACTTCACAATTACGTTTACCGTCGCTGGTTTCGTCCATATCAAAGCGAGATCGAGCATATGCGATTTATTTGCAAGCCCATAGAGCCACGCGACCTGCCTGAGGAAAGTGTGCCTTCTCAATCAACTATCAACGCCCTCATTTCCTTGAACAAAGCTATATGCGATAAAACAGAGAGGCGACGCCACGTCTATAGAGTAATACGCTATAGGGCGAATCGCGACCAAGTCGACTATAAGAATCATATTCTGCAGCCACTGTTCCGCGCACTGCTCGTCATCATCTGTTCAAAGGGGTATAATAAAGAGGATTCTAAGCATTTAGGCCCTCTTCCCGTCGTCTTGGTATCTACGGGGGTACAAGATGGCCTTAGCGCACCCATTGGATTTGATTCTATCAAGCACAAGATCCGTGGCTACGTGGAAGGAATGAATGGACATGCCGTGGAAACTACATTGGAGGTAGCCGTTGATTTTGTCATGGGCTTAGAGGCTAGAGAAGCCGCAGTATTCGGCCTCCAACCTGATCCGGTAGCAGTATGGCAGGCAGACCCTAGTACTATCGAGATGTGGGAGAAACTCGAAGGAGACAAGCCATTATTTGGACCTAGCTCTCAGTACATGGATGTAAAGACGTGGACGTCATGGCAAGGGATGGGAGAGCAGTACGACAGGTGGATCATGGATCAATATGAGAAACGGGCGTTCAGGTTTTACGAAAAGAGAGAGGCAAGAGAGACAACTTGAAAGACTGGCGCAATGTCAAGACTTGCTTTGACAGTAATCAAGCGGATGGTTTTTTTTAAGGATGATTTAGGCATTTGGACCTTGACCCTGGAGCCAAAGGCGGAGGAGAAGGGAAAGAGCAGGACGACGTCTGGGACAAGCGACCACAATAAAGGCAGGAGTAGGAAGTGAATTCGTTATTCAAAAAACTTTGTATATCTGGAACATGACCAGCGTTTAGATTACCATTTTCATACTCTATATCCATCTCATCCTGACTAAACCAGGCATATAGTAAGCCAACCATCTCACAACACGTCCAACCAGTTCGTTCATGAACGTGGATATGATGTGCAGAGCATTCCACTTGAACACCTTTCATCTCTCCCTCACCAAGTCGCTGGCACCTAGTGTTGGTGAAGCAAAAAAGCGTCGGCCTTGCGTATTCTCTGAATGGATCAACCCCGAGTCTGCACTGTCCGAGAGCCAGTGACCCTCCCATTTCGTACTCCAATATCAGCCCTCTGCATAAATTCGTTTCAGAAATGTTATACACTCGAATTCTATAGATGTTTTCGAGGAGGGCCCATGACATGTATGGGTCTGCTACCTACCACGTACGCGGAGTGCGGGGGAGTTGCTTCGGGACGGGTGTATCGCTAATAATATCTTTTCCTGAAAAGCCACCGACAAAGCATATTGGAAGCTTATCATTCTTTTTATAAATGAGAGTTTGCGGCCTTCTAAGGGATGCGAAGTCTCGAGGTTTTGTGTTATAAAGCCCGATCAGAAGTTCTCTTGCAGACTCAAAGCGAAACTGGTGTTTATTAGATGCATTGCAAAAGTCGCACTTTTATGTCCTCGTCTTACCTATAAATGCTGCGGTGGGAGCGACAAGTCCATGCTGATTTTTCGACCGGCTGAACCCAATTTATGTGATTTTTCCATATACAGGCACGTAAATCCAAGCAACTGACCTTCTCCTTGCGGGCGGAAGATTCTCAAAAGTTCTGTAGGCGTACAAGTCGGCCTTTGTATGAGCGTGGGCAGCATATATGGAGCCACGGGCAACAAAAAGCGTAATGCCAGTACAGCTAGGCAGCTCCACGGTTCCTAGATGAATATCCCGTGGATATGGGGTGGGAGTGATAATGCCATCATCGACAATACTACGACGCAGAGGCGGCGGTGAGGGAGTGTCCCAAATATGAATAGGCCCCGTCAAGACCCGCAGTCTGGCCATCCCGAACTAAGAATCGTCAGTAACAAGTTCTGGAACTTCGAGGGATGAACCGACCTGGAAATCTACCAATCCGCCATTAAACCGTTCAGCAGCTCCAACAATGTAGCCCATGTAGTCAGACCGGGAGCATCCATCTGCATCCAAATTTCCCAGCCTCTCAATGCATGCAAGGCCCCGAGAATCACCTGACAAACGAATAATAGAGTCATTGGGACTGTCCCCAAGGCATACTTTGTTGCCACGAATCCAATCCTTGATACCAGTGAGGGGGATTGTTCGCTGCTGGTCTTGAATGCTGTTTTGCAGCGCTGACAATTGGCCAGTAAGATCCAAAACGCTGCAATACCAAAGGCCATGGCAGAGTTCCCAAATTATTTCGATTATTTCCCGAGATAGCTTCTCTAGCCCCCCAAGGCTGCTGCCGCCAAGACTTGAGGCGCCAACTCGACACAAGAACAACTCCAGACAATGCTTGTGAATTGTAATGGTCTCCAAAGACTGGCAATGTTTGCAGCCGGGCATACTACACAGCCTTTTGTCAGTAAAATAAAGGGAGCTGGGAAAGTCGAAACACCTATAACTGGTGATGTTGATTGAGCATTTATTAGTGTCGTTGGTAACTACATTTGGATAAGCATCAGCGCAAGTTTTTGTCCAGTCAAGGAATCGGTGCTTACATGCGTAAAATTGGTCTCCCTTGTTAAATAGAAATCCGCACGCGCCGCAGCGAGAGTGCACGCGAAGGTGCTCGCTTGTGGGCTAGAGTGTAAAAACGGGTACCCGTGTGTAACGGTGGCTTAGGTTCTAAGGCATAGTAGGTCTGTTTCTTAGGAAGTAAGTTAGGTTGAATGCTATAGAGTAGCTTTTTAAGCAGTATTACAATAAGGCCGTTAAGAGTATAACTCTTAATAGTAAGACTATTGCTTAGATTAATTAATAGAGAACTAGACTATCTATTAATAGGAATACTTCCTCCTTAAGTATTCGTCTATCTCTCTATTATAATCCTGGATTAATTAGCTCGACTATCA